CCTCATTTCTTCTGTTGACACAGGAAAGAGGGGCTGAATAGACTTACCACATCTTGTGGGGGAACCCATATGCATCCGAAGAGAGAACAAACAAAGGACACACACATGAGGAGAGAGACAATTGTTTGGCCTCCTTTTCTGTAGCACATCACAAGTGTTTACCTTCCCTAGGAACACTTCCCAACAGAAAGCTTGTACTTTTGGAGGGATTGGTTTAGACCAGATTTCTTTCACTGGGAAGTTCACCCCCATAGGATCAATGTGAGTGAGCAAACCAAAGAAAGATGCACAAGAAAATAAACCATCAGAAGTTGGGGACGAAACTCTACAATCAACTATAGACTGGTTCAAGTAGACCCTTTCAAGTGTTGAAAGCAAAAGCACTAGAGACTCATACTCATTTTCCCTCAACCCTCTTCTGAAACCAAAATCCCAAGAGATCCCTAAATCTGAAAGCACACCAAACCTAGCAACAAGTTTGTTTTTATGGTTTGATAAGGAGTAGAGGTCTGGGAATTTGATCATAAGAGGCACATCCCCAACCCAAAGGTCTTCCTAGATTAAAACTTTGTTGCCACAACCAATATCAAACTTGATAAATTGAAGAAAGGTTGGATATACCTCAAAGATTGCCTTCTAGGGAGAAAATGGAGTTGCATTGGGGGCTAGTTTTGCATCCCAGCCGTTATCTGCTTCACCATGTAAGCTTTTAATGACCCTGTGCCACAACCTTTCTTCTTCACAAGGGAATCTCCACAGCCATTCCCCTAGAAGGGCCTTGTTTTTCTTTAATAGGTTCCCTATACATAATCCACCCTACTCTTTAGGGTAACAAACTTGCTCCCACTTCACTAAATGATCATTCTTTTCATCACTTGGTTCCCACAAAAAGTCCCTCATAATCTTCTCCAACTTCCTAGCTATTTTCACTGGGATCTTAAAGGTGGAGGAAATAAGTGGGTAGGTTTTCTAGGGTTGATTTTATCAAGGCGATTCTTCCCCCCAAGGATATATAATTTCTCTTCCACATTGCCAACTTCTTTATGGACCTATCTACCATCGGTTTCTAGAAGCTTTCCGCTTTCGGATTCCCACCCAAGGGCATAACTAAGTATTCCAGAGGCCAATTTTTCACTTCACAACCTAGCAGATTTGCCATGGCTTGGATGTCCCCCCTTCAATGTTGATTCCAACTACACAACTGGATTCATCACAACTTTCACAGAAAATGATTATGTCATCAGCAAATTGCAATTGAGACACCACCACTTCTGATCTACCCATCCTTCAACCTTTAAACTGTTTGTCTTGATCAGCCTTGGTGATTTGTCTACTCAAAACCTCAGCCACAAAGGTGAATAAGAATGGGGATAAGGGATCACCCTGTCTTAGTCCTCTTTTATCCTGGAAGAAATCCTTTGCTACCCCATTCATCAGAATAGAAAAATGTGCTGAGCTAATACATTCTTTAATCCACATCCTCCATCTTTCACCTAGCCCCATCTTTTCCATTAAATTCAACAGGAAGGACCAATCCTCCATATCATAACCTTTTTCTAGGTCCAATTTACAAGTCAAACCTTTGCCACCTTGTTTTTTCTTAGCTGCCACACACTCATTTGCCACTAAGATTTGATCCACAATTTGTCTCCCTTTTACAAAAGCTCCTTGGTTCTGAGAGATAACATAGGGCTATACAGTCTTCAACCTACTAACTAGGACTGTAGCAATGATTTTATACAAGCTACCCACTAGTGCAGCCAACCATGAAATGTTTCCACCCTTGGGGGAATAGGATTTTCCACAAATATGGAATGATATTTTATTAAATGATAAAAGAAGCATAGGCACACCTTTTAAAATTATTATCTTGTTCCAAATAATTAAACAAAGCTAAGAAACTAAGGTTATAGACAAAAGAATACGTTCCAAAGTTCTCCTGTAAACAGTAAGATTAAAAACTTCATGAAAGAATGAGTTAAAGCAAAATTTAATCTCATAGAAAATGTAAATGGTTCTAATAGACCAACCAAATAATTTATTACATGAACAAAAACTGATATTTAACTTCATGATTGAAATGGATATTGAACTTGCTGAAATGGAACTATGTTATCACATATCTACAATATTGTTAGGCAGGCGATAACATTGTCACTCCACATATCTACAATATTGTTACCAACTTATGTTATAATACCATCACTTGTACTCTGCATAGTGCTGGTAGTGTTCATTGGGGAATATGTTGGTTCCAGTAAAATTTTGAATTGTTACCCCATGGAAGTGGAAATGGAAATATGTCATGAATACTATCTCTTGTACTCGACATAGTGCTGGTAGTGTTCATTGAGGTCAATTCTGGTAAAATTTCATGTCACTCTGCCCATCGAAATGGAAATATTAGGAATTTTAGGGACATTTACATTAAGTTACCTATCAAACATTAAATTCAAGCTTAATTCATCCAAACCTAACAAGTAGTTAGGTAACTTGGTTTTAGGAAAGCTACACTCCACAAAATGATTCTCGTCTGTGATATTGGTGTGCCCAAGGCTTGCAATTTTTATAGCACACTTTGTGGTTTGTTGCTTCATTTAAATGTAACAATCCTTAAGAAAAGCATATTTATGTTTCAAGTCAACATAACTGATGGCTTCTTTTTCTTCTTGACAGAGGCTACGGGATCTCCCGTTTTTCATGCGGAGGCTCTTACGAGAACTGATGGATCCTCAAAGATCTCTTCCTCTTGTTTTTAGGGCACGCATGTTTTTTGCAGTTAAGTTACAAAGCATCTATATAAATGAAATTTTTTACTATTAGCATTATTATGAGTTTAGGTTATCTAGTCTGATTGCTGAAGTATGTCCTTTGATCTAGTTGTAGGAGGTTCAGGGTTAATAGAAGAGAAAGAAACATATGAAGAAGAGAGGAAAAACAAAGACCGAGGAGCGAAAACATGAGGCCCATCCTTATTCAAACACTTTATTAGATTAAGCATTATAATGAATGAAATTAAAACTTTTCCTTCACATAGATAACTTGAAAGCAATCCTATAATGTAGTTGGAAAATATCTCCTTTCAATACTGCTCTTCAAGCTGATGTACAGAATACAGATATCTAGCATACCTAGTTTGTCAAGTAAACATGTTACTTGTGTTTTACTAATAGCCTTCAGGGCCATTGATAACATCTGAAGTTTCTGAACTCAAGGTTTAAAATATCGATACAGGCTGATATGCTAGTAGGGGCGTACGAAATACAGACGATAGACGATGATGTTTTGCAAACTGACAAGACTCACARTCTAAAGAAGATATATCATGAAACTGAGGAGATAACTTCTTTAACAAAGGTAAAGATGGATGCCCCAACCGACAATGAGCTTCAAAAGGAGATAAAGTACTGGAACAGGCAATGCTC